CCCCCCCCCCCCCCCCCCCCAAAAAAAAGTGGATGGAAATGTCTGTGCGTCTTACAAAGCGAATATTGCGGCAGGGGGAGGGGGGTTGGTGCGGCGCCAATCAGCTGTTCTAGGCAGTGGGGATTGTCGCCATTGTTTGGGTGGTGGCAAATGGGAGTTGGTGAATGGGCTGCAACGAACAGGCCGTGGTTACGAACCTCATTTTATCTTTTGAAAACATACCAGGAAGATGAGGCGGTGGTGCCTTTACAGAATCAGAGCAGGAAGAGAACTTGAAGGTTTTCTAGTCCAACTCCTTGCTCAAGCAGGAGACGCTACACCCATGATGGCAAACCTATGGCACGTGGAGCCATATCGGTGGGCACGTGAGCTCAGCTCTGGTGTGCGTGTGCATGCTGGCCACCTGGTTTTTGGGCCCACTACAAGTTGGCAAATGGGCCATTTTTGGCCTCTGGGGGGGCCTCCTGGGCGTGGGAAAGGCCATTTGTGGCTTCCCCGGGCTCCTAGAAAGCGTCTGGAACCTGGGGACAGCGAAAAACGGACCTTCTTGTCCGATCAGAAGTCGGCAAACGGGCAGTTTTCAGCCTCCAGAGAACCTCCGGGGGAGGCCTTTTTCGCCCTCCCCAGGCTCCTAGAAAGGATCCACCATGCCATTGCATGCCAAAAACGTGGGGAGCATGGGTGGGTCGCGCCACATGCATTGGGTGAGGGCACATAGAATTATGGATGTGGGCACATGCATGCACGACCCCCCCCACGCTCCCCACGCTTTTGGCATGCGATGGCAATATGGTTAGCCATCACTGCCCTATACCATTCCAGGCAAATGATTGTCCAATGTCTTCTTAAAACCTCCAGTGATCGAGCACCCCAAACACCCGGAGAGATGGTGTCTCATGGATTAATTGTTCTTACTGGCAGGAAATTTCTCTTTGGATTTAGGTCGGATCTCTCCTTGATAAGTTTCCATCATTTTGTCAAGGAATGCAGTAACGTTTGTCTGGCATGATCAGTTTTTGATAAACCCTTGTGGTTTCTAATAGCATGGGGGGGGGTTTTCCCCATCTGGGGCCTCTAACTTTCTTTCCCAGTGGTATTGTGCTTGATTCAGTTTTTATAATCTCATTATCAGTGTTTCCTACACTTCTTCAGGGGTTTTTTTCCCCCCTGGAATCCTTCCCAGGTTTGCTGAAATTGTCTCTCTTGAGACCCTAGTTTGACGTTGTTCTATTGCCTGTGCCTTATTATGTTAAATTCCAATATTCTCCCCCAAAGTTCCTTAACGTCAACCCCTTCTATCGTTTTGACTCCATTATTGGGAAATAAGTCCTGCATACCTGACCCTCTAGTTCCCTATTCTGGTTTTTGAGCGACAAAGAGTCGTTTTCATACTATGGGTACGTCTGAAATAGTCTGGGATTAAGCATGATAGTACATTTTTTAAATATTTTAATATATTTTACATAGCATATTATCTATTTTTAAAAGCTATATGGTAATATATTAATACTGTGTAGAATTTCAAAAGAATGGTCTCTTCAACAAAGAATTAAAAATGCTTCTCAATTCAGTGAGCACTTTTGTAGAATTCTTTTAATAGTAGGGTATATAGTAAATCACTCAATCGACACATAAGAATAATTTCTACCCTTAATCATTACTGGGGTTTTAGTTGTGATGTTGTACTATTAGTTACAGTTGGTTATAACAGTAACTGCAGCTGTAATGTTCGTTTTCACCTAAATGCTCCTGGCATTTTCCCTTTCAGCCTTCCATTCCATGTTTGGACCAGCTGCCAGGAGAATACTCGCAGTAGCCCATTCCCACAGTGGAGCGCCAGCAGTGCATCACCCTGCCCGAACAGAGCCGCCCCCCCCAATCTATGAGGAAGCCATACATGTGAACAGATTCACAGTGGCTCGAAGTGGAGAAAGAGTCGTAGATTTGGAGCTGATGCCAGAGGAGAAACAGATCATCGGTCCTAAGAAAGAAGAAGAGCAGGAAGCAGCTTCCACAGTCAGATGATCAGCAAATCTTCCAAAGAAACCTTCACAGACACATATACAGCTAATTCAATTGCTCCTGTTTTATCAGAACCTCGTATCATATTTGCCAAATCCTCTATTTTCAATATTATAATTCTATAAATGTGCAAAATAAGAAATAAATTGCATATAACATGCTCATGCACATATATATATATATATTTGTCAACATCATGCATCAAGGAACAAGTTTGCAGAAATTTAAAACATGTTTCTGAAGTACATCTTTTTCTTCTAGATCAGGGGTGTCAAACTCAAGGCCCGGTGGCCAGATCTGGCCTGTGGGGTGCTTCGATCTGGCCCACGAGGCCACCCTAGAAATAGAGAAGGACTATCCCGCAGTGCCACTGCCAGTTGAAACGGAGCTTTCAGGGGCCACGGGTAAGAGCTCCTCCTGAGCTCTGTTTTTGCTGGCAGAGGGTTGCGGGAGGCTGTTGCAGCTGAAAACGGAGCTCAGGAGCCTGTTTTTGCTGGCAGAGTGCTGGGCCCCCCACAGGTGCCCCCGACACGAGTTCAGCTGGCCACACTCACCCCAGCCACGCCCACCCCTGCCTCCTGAGATCAAACACAACCCTGATGCGGCCCCCAGTGTAATTGAGTTTGACACCCCTCTTCTAGATCTACTACTTTCATACCTAAAATATACTCCAGAGAACATCATTCGCTTTCAAAAATAGTTTTGGGGTTATCACAACAGTTCCCATGCAATGTTTTTATTTTCTTCTTTTCCAACAAATACATCCATTTAGATTAGTGGGCTTCACACAAACAAAATCACAAAGATTTAAATTCATG